GAGAGTCCTAACCTGCTAAGCGTGTTGCTTTGCGTGGAAGCCAGTTCAGGGCTTTGGTCATCTGTATTCCCCTTCTCTGAACCTTTGCTGCAGTAACTGCTTTTACAATAAAGGAGCCACAACTGCACAACTTTATAATAAAGGTGCAGGCTTTCACTGGACATGTTGTTTTGTTTTCTGTTCCTTTCCTAACAGGTATTAGCACTTGATTTCTCATTTTGACTGCTTCTGAACACTGAACTAACACTTCTGTACTACTAACCATAACCCCAAGATCTCAAACTGAGTGGTAGTGATTGGTTCAGGTCCTGAGACATATGAAACATCATTTTCCCCATAAACTTTTTTATCTATCCAAATTGAATTTTGTTTGCCTTTTTATTGCCAATCTACTTAGTCACAGGAGATCCTACTGCAATTCTTTGGTCTTTGGAGTTGGCCTCAATTTTACCTGCTTGAAATAATTACCTGCAAAGTAGCAGTTTCCTAACAGTACCGTACCCGGGTTCCGGAAGAGTGTTTTTAGGGTTTTGTCTATGCAGAAGTTCACAATAAACCAGATTTTTTTTTTCCTGTAGCTGGCTCATCCCTTTTTAATTTTCATTTCTTCCTTCCCACTAGGTTTTACCGCCAACTTGACATCCAACACTGGTGGCCAGGCTTTTCCACAGTGTCTTTGATCACTGGCAGATTTTGCCTGGAGATCCTTACGATGCAAATTCTCGTCCTTGGCAAGTTGTGGCTGAAACGTGTAAACACAAGGGCTTGAAGAAGGGTATTCCACCTCTGGGTAACTTCCTAGATAAGTTATAATCACTTCTGTTTCATGTTGTGTGATGCACTGCCGAGTTTTGCCCTGATACCATTTCCTCATAAAACCAGGAAGGAAAGGGGAAGTTTTTAGTGTGTCACATTGAATACACACACAGTGTTAACATGTTGTGATGACTGCATGATCACCTACTAAAAAAAGAAATAAAAATGATGTGCTAATTTGACTTACGGGATTGTTGTTGCCTGTATCTTGTCTGTGGTCATTGATGCCCGTGTCAAAAATACACGCTAAAAAAACCAAACAGTTGCCTAGGACTCCAATGGTGTTCTTTACCGTTTGCCTAATCCGCAATTGTCTTTTAACCTAGGACGCAGCTCCCTTCGTTGTTACTCTTGCAGGAATTCTTGTTGAACTGTCAGGTTTTGTCCTCTCAGCCAGAAGACGCATTCTTTCATTTCCAATCTTGAATCCCCTGTGCTCCTGAAGACTGATAGTGAAAGGCTTGCAGTTACAGGTAAGCTTTCTAGCATCCAGCACCTAGATTTAAAGGCAGATACAGAAAATCCCCAGAATGTCAGAAATGCCCGAGTTCTTGCTGCTGGACAGGTGCAGAACCTCCTGGGGCTGGGCTGTATCAGGCAGCAAAGCCCTGCCTACATGGCTCACGATTGTTTCAGACAGCTTTATCTGACCTGGAAGTATGAAAATCAGAAGCCAGCTCAGGCTAATAGTCTTCAGGTGTATAGGTACAGCCTTTCTGTAAAGAGTATTTTAGCTGCTAGCTCACTTCCAGAAAATGCAGAAAGCGATGTAGCAAATGGATGGGTACTCTTAATGGAATGGATGGAAAAAAGGGGCTAGCGCTTGCAGCATGACTGTCATTGCGCGTTGGTTATCTGTGCAGCAGAGGGACTTTGTACAAGTCTCACAAGCTTTACTTTCCTTCTGCAGTTGGTTTGAAGGTATCATCTTTGATACAGTCCACTCACAGCAGTAACCGGATACTTCCATAGTGGAAACAAAGAGGTAAGAAGTCATCTAACCTTTTCTTCAAGATTTTTCTTGTGTTAGAAGTTCTTGGATAAACATTCTGACGCCTTTTAGAACTTGTTGAAGGAAAACTAAACCAAAACCTCATCTAGCTACAATGGACAGGTTTGCTTAGAGCAGGGCTGGAGTGGTAGAGGCCTCAATTAAGTTGCAAACCCCAGTCCCCTCTCCACCCACCACTGCTTAAGCAAATTCTTTGTTGTCAAGAAGGCGTATCAAATGGGTGAAGTGACTGCACTGCAGTACTCCAGCCCCTCAATACACAACATCCGCAAACTCAAGTGAATTAAAGGATTTAGGTATTACACAAGCCTGTAATTACACCTACTGCCTGTACATCAGCATTGCAGGAAAACTACATCGTTCACCTGAACGCTTACCTCACAGCGCAGCCTGTGACAATCCAGCTCTCTCCCAAAGGGGCAAGGCTCAAATGCCTTCAGTCTGCATTTGACGTTGCTGTCATGGGTCTAGAAGGTTTAAAGCTAAATGCAGCTGCAAAACTCCTGCCCAAAACAGCTGGAGAACACAACCCTACCTCAGCCCTGATAAGTAACTACTGACAGGGCACAATAATTAACTTAAAATTCCAGCCATATTTTATAGTACCAGGAATGGTTTAGAGCACACGTCCTAAAAACAGCACTCACCCTTACTTGACTTTTCTGATGTACATGTGAGATGTTTACATCCCTTTAGCAACTGCCTGAGTCACACTTCAGTTTTAAGAGTACAAACAGCATCTTCAGCAACAGATACCAGTTTTAAACACTTTATTCAGAATGACTCTGGAACCTCTCTCCACACTCTATTTATAGTTCAAGTCACTGTGCAATTGTGATGCAGAAAGCACTGATCTGCTGCAGGCCATTAGGAAAAAAACTTCATGAGTAGCATGGCTTTATTGGAAATAAATCATGCTAAAAACTGATCCTTAACAGGTACAAAAAATTCAACAGATAAGGAAAGGAGAAGAAAGATTGGATGCAATATTAAGACCAACACATGAACTGAAGACTGCTGTGAAAGATCATACAAAAAAGGCAATGAGGAATAGTAATGCAGTGTTCAAGGTGGGAGTACAGGGCAGACAAGAGTTACAATACATCCTGCTTCAATATTTCTTATCCATGTACTTTGTTCAAATACTGTAACAGTAATGGAAGGCAAAAAGCACCACTAAAGAAATAAGAAAAACCACAAAATTAGGAAAAAGTGAAAGCTGGTAATTAGGCAAGGAATAATCTCAAGTACATTTACTCAACAGAAACACAACACTTGGGAAAGCTGCTATGTCAACATATATAGACAATACCATTATTCCAGCTCTATGGGAATGACTTGATTTTCCTGGTCTGTGACCTCTTCCACATACAGTACTGCTGAGGTTATCCTTAGAGGTGTGGGGAGACACCGCATACACACAACAAAGCAGCAGATTCATCAGAGGAGTAAAGCAGGAGGAAGTTATTCCCATCAAATTAGAAAAGCCATGACTAAGAGGCCATGTAACATGGGACAAAGCATCATTAAGCCCTAAACACATAATTCCAGTTAGGTGGGAACACTGTGCAGCTACAGCTTTTATCTTCCAAAAAGCCAAGCCTCCCCCATGGCAAGTCAGAGCATGGTATTCCCAAGCAGAACACAGCAGTTACTGAAGAGACAGAAGCCATGAGCAAGAGATCCTAGAAAATAATCCTGCACTGGAGAAAGTAACGCCTATTTTGTCTCCCTACAGCAGCCATAGAAAGCATGCACTTCACTTGATCATCTGGTGAGGGGTGGCAGTTTCACAGAGGGCCACTGAGGACTTGATAATCTAAATTTGAGTTTAAAGGCTTTTTTTTTTTTAAATCACCTCTTAAAATCATCAAACCAGAAATTCAACTATAGCTCAACTGTGCATGGTTTGGAGGTTTTGGTGCTGGGGAGGTATCCTGGTTCTGACATGACAGCACAGAGATTGTGTGATGCAGGGTTTGCATAGATAGTTTGTCCCCTCCCCAGCCCAAAGAACATTAAGAGGAAGAAGTCACAGCTTAGGATTTTGTTGCATTTGTGAAAAACATGAAATTGGGAAAAAATTAAAAAAACAATTAAAAAACCCACTTTTACAGAGGCTTCCCCTACATCCCCAGGTAAGGGGGAAGTGGGACACAAGAGACATACAACACAAGTCATGGCTATTTCACAAAGCTTCATTGTCTGAAATGAAGTTTATTACAGGCCCCAGTGAAAATATTAAAAATTCACCAATGCATACACTTCTGCACCTTTGTCCAGGTTGTTGTTGTTCTAGAGTGGTTAAGTGCCTTTTTTATTAAAAAAGTTTTTGTTTGTTTTTACATTATTGCTGTGTTTTACAACAAAATTAAAAACCATTTGTGGAATCCACCCAGCAACAAAAAGTCAGTTTCCCCAGAACAAGCCGAAAGCATAAAAGCATGTTCTGAAGGGGCCTTTTCTATACCAGCTATTTAATGAGCAAGGGAAAAAAAAAAAATAATCTATCTCTTCTGTTCCTAGTGTAGATGAATTTACTCTGTTTTCCAGAAGGCAAATCCTTTCAATAAATATCAGAATAACTTCTGAGATGCCGAAGTTCCAGAGATACAAGCAGCAGCTCTGTGCAGTTTCTCCTGGAGTCCCATGCTGCCCCTTGTTTCAGTCCAGCGAGATGATGTCAGGAGCGCTGCCTCCGCTGCTGGTTATCACTCCTGTCTCGCTCCTGCTGGAGGAGCTAACGTGCGTGCTGCTCTCGTGGTGACTGGTGGAGGTGATGATGCTGCCAGGCGTGCTGCTTGTTAAGGTTGAGGTGAGACTATCCAAAAACATAGGAGGACAGTACTGCTTGAAACAAACAATGAAGAATGAAGAGACTAACTGCACAAGGGAAATGTATGCTCTGAAGATACATCTTCCCTACAACAGGCACAAAACACATTACTAGCAGAACCTCATTAACACATGCAGAGTAAGAACCAGAGTTCTGCAAACCAGCAAGTAAGCAAGCAGGGGTGGTAGCCACAAGCCCTTCTCCCTCATCATCCCACCTTTATTTTTTTTTTCTGACTAACTGGTTAGCTTGAGCATTTACTAGCACATTAAGAAACACTGTCACAATCACATGATGATCACAAAAAAAACCCCTCAGCATTTGGAGAATATTCACTGCCCAACTGCATATTTTGGGCTCCTTTCATCACAAAAGGTAGCAGAATGCTTTTTGCTGCTTCAATGGAGGTTAGAATAATTTCATCCCCTCAAGTGGCAGCAGCTGTACTAATAAGCATTTCCACAGTATATACCTGCAGTGATACATGCAGGTATCTAAACATTTTAGCAGTGATAAATGAGCCCTGATCAAGTCTGATTAAGAAAAATTACTAAGTTGATTTCAATCTCCTGAAGGGGAAGACAAGCCTTCTCAAAGCAGAGCTAAACATTTTAAGCATTTAGAAACAGAACAAGGTTGCCAGGTGTCAAAGAGGAGGATAATAAGACATCCCCACGCGCACACACATGTTGTTCAACACATCTTACTTTCTCTTACCCTGTGGATTCCAACCTTGGGCATATGTTTGGAACTGAGCCTGAACTGTTTGAACTGTCCAAAGTGGACATTTCATAGCAGCATACCTGCTTCCAGTCTCCCACATGAACAAACTTCCGTTATTCCCACTTTTGGCAGTTCAGATCTCAAGGTCAGGCACAGAGTATTGCAAGATGCAGTAAGTGGAAAGAAAAGGAGGCAGTTCATCCTTTGTTTTTAAGGCACCAGAAAGTCAACTCCACAGTAGAGTCTATTACTGTTGTCTTCTAGTGACAGAGAAATGAAACAGAGGGTCTGCTTCAGATCCTCTTGTCTTAGGGAGCCAATATTCCCCCACGTTTCAAGGCTGTAGCCTGTCTGTGTAAGAATCTAGTTATAGTAAGAGTCATCCTCCCTAACTGTGTAAAGTTTAAGTTTCCAGGGAAGGAAAAGCAGCGCCTAGTTGCTTTTGACCTACAAAATTGCCATATAATCCAAAGCCAATGGGGTTTAGGTGTTACATAGAGGGATTTGTTATAAAAGTGTTCAGTCATGCGCCCATCAAATTAATGAAGATATTTTCTTTAAAACTTAATCTCCTACTAATATCAAAACCAACAGAAACAGCAATCAGTGAAGTATATTAACAGAGCTTAATCTGGCCTACAGATACTCCGTATGAACTATGAGCGTGAGGTACACGATGGGTGTATTCAAGTTAGGGCTGCGCAGGTATCCGCTTCAGAAAGGCCAACTATCAATAAAGAGCGAGTTTCCATGCCTGGGTTTATCATAGTGAGGCTAAACTGAATCCTCCCTTAATGCATCTTCATCACCACCTCTTGTTGGGAAAATGGATTTTCCTGGTCTGCGGTTAGGTCTAAACAGGGGGACTGCAAACATGGTACGGATGGATGACGACAGCACCCTGATAGTTCATCAAGCAGTATGTCACAAAAACCAGACTTGGAAATTAACCCCATAGCAGTTCAGAAACATACCTGTGAATCAACTGGAATGAGTGAAAGAAAATCCAGACCTAGAAAGAAGAGAAGGATAATAAATTGATGAGTCTTTCTTTTATTCATACACAACAAATGTAAGGAACTTTTTTGTGGTCGTAGAACAGATTTTGCAATTGTTACACAGTTTCTAAATGGAATATACCACTGTGACACCACTCTCAACGACTACTTCAGGCAGCAGCAAAACGAGTTATCTAGTACAAGTGGCTCTTTTTAAGAATGAGAATGACATAATGATGTATTATTCACTGGATATTGCAGGGTGGTTCAATGTGGTTGCTTAGATGGAGGTTGCCATTTGGAGCTGTTGGTTCATAATGCAAGTTTCACTGCATATTGTACCTGACTTGGCCAAACTGGGACATGAAGAGTGTCATCACATTAAAGATGCTGGAATGAAGTAAAGTCACAACATGCACAAGTCCAAAAACAAGCAGCAGGTCTCTTCCTCCACCCACGGGCAGCCAATAAGGAAACATTTCTAATATCATCCCCGTTTTGTGTCTAGACAAATAAAAGGAACGAAGAAGAGGAAACTACAAGTAGTTCAACGTATATCCTCCAAGAGCGTCCGTCTTATACACCATTAGCGTGTAAGCATTTAGGGCAAGATGTTTAAAATTATGAAACCAATGAGAAATTCAGCCTTTTTTGTTTTGTTTCTAAATATTGGCCTTGTGTTTGCTATGTCAACAGAAAGAAATGGTAAACTCCCTCCCTCCCTCTTCCCTCACCTCCAAATCTGTTCTGGCCAGCGGCATCTCTCCTCCTCTTCTCCATTAGAGAAAAATTTTGAAGGAGACTTAAGCTCAGCTGCTTTTACAGAATTGACAGCTTCTTTTGTTCTTGCACGTTCTAGAACTTCAGTTGATAGAGACGGACAACAGTTCTAGACTTCCATTCTCTCAGCTTACTCTCCTATCCAATTTGGGAAGACAACTGATTTCTTAACAAGGGAGAAATGGAGGGAGGGAGCAGTAAGGGAACCAAAATGGACAGAGAAACAAGGGGAATGATATCCATCCCATTGCCAAACTGCTGCTGAAAGAAGAGGAAAAAACCCAGAGATGTTGCAGGGGAGAAATGGAGACAGGCAATGGAGGGGGGAGAGGGAAGTAGAGGAGGCCAATGTGACACCTGTCACCACAAGTCACCATTTCCTAGGCTCTGGGTGCGTTACAGCTGGCAAAAAGAACCCCCAGAGTCCCTATATACAGTGTTCTTTTCAAGGAGCCAGGATAGAAAACAATCAGTATCCCCACCTTTTGTCTGATATTTAGCAGCAGTGTTGAAGAATACATCATAGGCATTTAGGGTATGTCTAGGTAAAGAAAGTCAATAGAGGTCAGCTTACATATTGTAGCTCACCTTAACCTTTTTCATACAGTCTAGACAGAGCACCACTAGAATCAGCTAGCAGAATATCTCTACATCTAGGGTTGGGATAAGCCAGTGCCATCACACATCTATAACTTAAATAAGCAGCTACTCTCCCTCACATCTACAACACATAACAACCAGATCTTTACACAAAGTCTAACTGAATATAGCGAGAAGTGTTTCTGGCTGCTGTTCCAAAGCGCCAGTTTGTACCCCAGAAGCAATGTTTTTCACATCACTGTTGCGAAGTGCAATCTGAAACTGGAAAGACAGCCTGTACTGGACTTGTCTAGACATCACATCAGTGCAATACTGCATATAGTCTTGTTCCATTAAAAAAAAAAAAAAGTTGATCAATTCTCCAATTTTTACCCACCCCGCAAATTAATAAGGCTGTCAGAATACACATTAAAAATAGCCACCACCTACCTGGCAAGTCTGATGAAATACTGGATATTGGTGGATGATGGAATGGTACTGGGTAGTCTGTTAATGAAGGAGGAATAGCAGCAGCATCGACCGTTGTCACGCTGGGCACTCTGACAGTAGATGGCTGATACATGAGAACCCTGTTTTAAACAGCATGGGAAATTACAAACAACCTGGCCGTTAGTTACAGAAGAGAAATCATGCACCGCTGTGCACTCTCATTCACAAGGTCACTATGTTACAACACAGCTATAGCGTGGCTACTCACTACACAGTATTCCACTCTAATTTCCTCTTTCATAACAGTCTTCATAATAACATGACCGTATCTTGACTCTCAACAGCAGCTGTGACATAAGAGCAAGTTGGCATTAAAACAAAGTAGAGTGCTGGAGTCATTTATAACAGTCTACCATTCAGAGACAGAAATGGACATCTGTATCTGTGGAGCGCCCTGGGAGGGATGTGCAGGTAGCCAGAGCCAGGAGGAGAGCACTCGTTTCCGTTTCTCCACATAACTGTTCCTTGGTGCTAACCTGTCACGCCAAGAGCACGACTGACCATTATTCGGACCCTGGAGCACAGATTACACACGTGCGAGTTAAATATCAAGCCCATCTTTACTCACAGCCTGAGCCCAAGCCAAGCTCAGCTCTCCAGGAGCATGCAACCAGTTAAAACCCTTCTGCATCCCCACCTTCTGCCTGATTACTTCGCAGCACTGTTAAAGATGACACCACAGGCGTTCAGGCACCAGCCACATGCATAAAATATTTCATAAACTCCAAGGCAGGTGAAAACACCAAGAGTCCTGCATCCCAGCTGCTCTGCATTCCCCCCTCCAGCCCGCCAGCCATGAGTGTTACCCCCTCATGTCTTCCCAGACTGCTGCATTTATGCTACTTCTGGTTTCAGAAGCTTGGATTTCAGACCCTCCCTTCTCCAGCACCTCTTACGCTTCAGCCTATGTTGCTTCTGCCTATAGGAAGGCACTCCGCAGTTTTGCCAACACTAGCATTCAGGCAACATTGTTTACGGGAAATAAGCTATTCCCCAAAAGCCTGGCTTTGACTTGAAGAATGAAAACATGCCATTTCCATACCCAAACAGTAAGGAAAATACATTGGTCACAGATAGACAAGAAAACTTAGTCCTTCTACAATTATGGTTGCAGGTAGCCATCTCAGACAAACACAGGAGCATGGAAGGAAGTCTTGGTGCCTTCTGAAACTTCATTAAGAGATGTATTTGTAGCTATTTTTTCTTATAAGAATAAGAAACAGTCTCTTGCAGAAGGACTCCTCCACAATCCTCACAAAAAGCAACAGCATTTCAGTATCACTGCTGAAAGTTGTTGAAGATGACCAACTATTTGCTCACCAAAGACCACACATTCCAGAGACACAGTACACCTGCTCGTTACTTCAAGAGCTGGCAAAACAGAAGGGGTTTGTTTTTATTACTATTATTTTAGTACAAGACATAAGCCACTATGCTGAGAGACACAGACACACACCTCATGCATGCAGCAACACTAACTAATAAGCCATTACGAAAAGCTGATGTTTGGAATCGCCTTGTGGAGCGGCAACTGCTGGTGA